CACTTCATGAATTGGATGTAATGGCGCCGTCTGAAATTGTAGGTAGATCCGTTTCGCAAGATGGAAGCCGCAGAGATTCGATTTTCCAGCCAACCGTCAAAAAGAACTCTTGAGGTTGGTTTGTCTGACAGAGCTGGACAAATCGGCAACAGAACCAGCCATGCATTGTGCCACGGATGTGTTTCCGTTTAACTGGTCACTGCCCTCGCACTTGCGGCTGCCGCTGCTGCTGTTCTTCTGCAAGGGGCTCCGTCCGATTCACTTGCTTCGATGCGCACCGCCTTTCGCAGAAGTTCAAATTCCGTCAAGAAACTGTCTTCTTGATTTGGTCTGTTGCGGTTTATCGCTTGCCCCCATGCTTTGCCACTTGCCACGAGCTGACAACGATCCACTTGGTCTTGGACTACGCGTAGTGCTGAAGCAACAAGTTTGTGCAGATCTACTGCGAGATCCGAGACGCATTGAATCTTGCGCAAATCGATCGACATCAGGCCTCTGCAAGTCATGTTGTGTTGATATGGATCTGCCTGTGTGCGCTATTTGACTTGTGAGGCTGCAAAGCTTCTTGACAGCCTGGAAAGTGACCAGAGGCTGGTCCGGCAGGTGTAGCAATGAGCATTCATTGCACTCTGCATAGGGTTTGCTGTATGAGAGGATGTTGCAGTGTTAAGAAAGAACTCCCATGGAGCGTCTCATCATGGGAGCATGGTTTGGCAGAGTTCCCCTGCTTTTGTGCCAGTCTGCTGAGATGTCATCCCTGTGTACCAAGAGTTGCCAAACATCGGCAGCCCATCCCCGAACTGTAGCTGCAATCATTGTACATCTTAGACGTTTTTGTTTGATCGTGATTTGCAGCTGCATAAGCCTCCAAGGCTACGTAGGGGAAGCCTGGCACTAGACCTTTCTGCGTCATGCGCAAATGCGCAGCGCTCTTGAAGGAGGATGATCAACGCGATGCATGGCCGACCTGAGGGACCAGCATCAGGGTCGGTTCTTTAGACTTCTCTGCGTTTGACATTTTATCGAGTTCTGTTTGGACACCGTCTGCTATCAGGCACAAAGAGCCATGACCCGTCAGCTGAGAGCTGTGTTTGAACGCATCGTCTCACCTGCCGGAGCTACGAGGATGGTCAAATCCCTGCAAAGACTGCTCCGCCAAGCTTAGTTCCATAGGCTGAAGTGATGTTAGGCGCTTCGGTACAGTGTTGTGCCCGCAAGGCCTGCACATATTCCCCGTGCATCTCCGCTGGTATGAAAGGAGCATGGGACAAACGGACGGATGCGGCATCAATGTTGCGCACTGCAGCTCCTACCTTTGCAATGCAAACGCGCCTTCAGCTGCTGGCATGGACTTTTGATTCTCAGACACGCTGCCACCAGAGCAACTTTCTATCATTTTCTATCATAGATGTTGGCCAAGGCATGTATGCTTGCACTTAGACCTTTCTAGACCATTGTTGAGCAAGACCATTTCTGGGTACGCTTCCCATGGCATGGCTGCCGCGGTTGACCAGGCGGCAAGGTACACGTTTCAAGTTTGTTGTTCAGAAGATCCAATCATGCCAAGGGTGTTCACGCTGTCCTGGCCAGTACTGAAGTCAGGATAGGATTAGACGACTAGGGATGTTGTCGATCTCTCTATATCTATATCAGTGTTTCGCCGGTTTTGCGTGGACGGCTTTATTGTTGTCGAGGTGCCGGCAATGATGCAGAGTATTGTCAAAAGCAGATCTGACATGCAAACTGCACTTGCAAGTGCTGCGATTGCATTTTGTACGCAGGAAGGCACTTTGCAGTCGGTTGCAGTGAACTGCAAACTAGCAGATCTCATGTGTCAAGGCTATGAGATCTGCATGCTTCCTCTGCCTTGGCAATTTTGCTTGAGCCTTTCATTCTACCTGCATCCACATGATGTGCTTCAAGAGGGCAGTGGCCATGGCCAGAGGCTTCACTTGGCATCCCTCTTGATGTTTTGTTTTTCTAGATCTGCTTCTGGAAGGCAGCTGTGCAGCTCGAGGGGGCCACTAGCGGCTTCCCAGGTGAAGATTAATCTGTGACCAAGCTACAAAGATTTACCAACTTGAGCTTGAATGCTGCGCAGGCGTTCCCACTTCTGAAAGCCGGCTCTAGTTTCGAGCTCAGTTTGCGTTTGCGGTTCTGGACCTAAGTGCTAAACGCAATGCTGAAGCGCAAGTTCCCATCATGCTCGCCAAGGCCCTTTGGCTTCACTACCCTTGGAAATCCAGGCGCAAATAACCTTGCGTGTTGGAGCTGAGATGGCTCAGTTGTGGCCATGTGGCCAAGTGGCCAGGTGAGATGCTTCGGAGGCCCCAACCGTGGTGAGAAGTATGAGGCGCAATCGACATTTGCACCGCCAACACCTCAGCCTCGAAGACAGGCAACTTTATGCTAAATGTCCGATTTGGAGGAAGTCCTGTTTGAACAGTTTCCGTTATCTTCCATCGCAAGATCGATTTTGACCGAATTTTGTTAGATATGCCTCAAGAAAAAGAAAACGGGCAAGAGAAGCAGCAGAAGCATCAACGCATCAAGGAAAGACAACATATTTATTTTGCCAAGAGAAGATGACTTGAGTTTGAAGCTGTCGCTCGCGTCAATTTAAGCGGCTTAGAAGCCACTGTGTCAAGTGCTGTTTTTCTCAGGCCTCTCAACTCTTTGTCTTGGTCCCGAACCACATGCAGCCAACGCCAAACCTGATGCATGCGAGCCTACCTTTCTAGCACTCCCATGTTTCAACATCAGGCAATGTGCTTGGAAACCATACCCGCCTGACAGCGGGTTGTGGAGCGTTGCGCGCAAAAAGCCCTGCCAATCCCAATCACGCAAGGTCCCTTCCGCAACTCCACTGCTGCTAAAGGGAAGGAGACAATTACGGTTGTAGGTATATAGCTGCATACAGAGATGAGCTTGAAAAATGCGAAGATGCCTGCACCTGCACATCAAAAGGCAGCAGTTGTTGTAGGTCCCCGCTTCAACTGCTTTGGGTGCAACCCTCGTTTTGAAGCTTTCTCAATGACTTGAAATTGGCCCTTTCTTGTGAGGTGTGCATTAATATCTGTACGAGAATATTGGCGGGATGTAACGAATTTTTGATCACTGCACGCATGAGTTTTGTTTTCGAATGGGGACCTGGGGTATAACAATATATTTCATAGTCTGAATTCGATTGCTGCCGTGGCTGCAAGTACACCGTTGAATGTAGCAAATTTCGGCAGTGTCAATCCAATGGTCAGCTTTGTTGCCGCTCTCGGTGCTGGGTGCTGTGAAAGCATGCGCTGGAGAAGCACTTGGCCGGATCTCTACCACGGGACCTTCCAAAGCCAAATCTAGAAGAGCAGCTGGAGGCATTGGTGTCTCCTGTCCCAAAGGGAACCGCGGCAGCATCTCACTTCGTAAGCTCAGCTAATTCTAACTTTGGTCAACACACCTCCGCAGCACCAGCAGGCACAAGATTCCACACGACATGGACAAACACAACATGCTCAAAACGCTATTCAGTTTGTACGAACCTTGGTTCACAAGTGTTGGTCAACAATCAACATGACGAAAACTGTGTACGATTCCTCCCGCAGACATGGGCAGTTGTGGGACGACGATCACAACAAACAACGTCTTTGCTCACGGTATCTCACGGTCGCTAACGCTAACGGAAACACGACACGTGCTACGTCACCGTGGAGGCCTCGAGCAGATTGCGAGAAGCACTGGTTGCAGCCAAGGTACCCCATGGTTCCGTACGGCGTGAAGCGGAGCGCTGCCTACCGCGTCCCATTCCAAGTTTTCCTGAGAAGTCCACTGCGCAGCGATTCGCAGCTATTCTTCTTGGTCCTCAGGAATCCAAGAAAGCTGCGCGGAAAGCCGCAGAGCGGGCTCGCAGAGCGCAGGAGGAGCTTGAGGGTACAGGAAAGTCAAATCTGCAGGCCTGCTTGCATAAAGTGTTTGTTTTTTAGGAAAAGGGCATGATCCTCGACCCGAAAAAGCAGCTGCGCATGGAAATCAAGCGACACCTTGCTCAAAGACAGTACGGAAGGCTGTGCCTCCGTGCTTGGCAAATACCATGTCTAAGGCAATTCAGGAATTGGTTGGTACCGTGCGGCCCAAATCATCAAGCCGCTTTCTTGCACCTTCATGTGCGGGAACATGCTTGTGCTTTCAAATCCTGCATGTGATGTGGCGCAAGCAAGATTGGAAAATGCATGGACTGCATATTTCCTCGACAAATCTTCAACACCTCTTTTGCAACACTCATTTTTGGGCGCTGTGGAAGCTAAGACACCTGGAGATGCACGAACGGGGCAAGGGCCCTCCCATGGACCAGGTGCCTCGACATCCGGTTCAAATGTAAGCGAAAATCTGGGCCTGCGCCCACTCAGGCAATGCGCGACCGGATCACGGCCATTGCCAGAGTAGTGAGGTGCCGGCTTTCTGGCCACCTGCTGTCGGTTTTCAAGGGGGATTTGACCTGCAGGATGGGCAGATGAAGCATGGCTCTCAACGTGCATATTATGCTTGGGTTCTCTTGAAGTCCAATTTCCGCTCTTTCGCAAGGTCAGACACTGGCTGTTGCCAGCCATGGCTTCAAGACAAGTTTCACTCGCGATTTCTGTGGCGCTCGAGCTTCTGGAAAAAGTCATCTAATGCAAAGCATGGAAGGGTGCCACGACTTCCCTTCAAACAAGGAGTGACCATGAGCCAAGGCAGCACTGCCCCACTTCCCCAGCTTTTCTCCATCAGAAGGGACCCACGTTCTATCGTTTACGTGAAGCATCTTGCAACATTGGTGTCATTTGCAGCAGTGTGCAACATGACACCAGAAACTGTTGATGTCCAGCCTAATGGAGGCTACAGGCTGCGGATGGAGTGCGCTTTCGCGAAACCAGCCTTAATGATCGCCAGGCAAGCGGTGTCTTGAGCGACTGGCTATGTGCTCGTCGGGGTGACTGCAATCTGGTCACTGCTTCACTGCTGGGCCTTTGCGCATGTCAAGCCAAAGCCTGAAGAATGCGCTCCAAGCTCTGCAGTCAGCGCTAACATCCGGCTCGGCTGAAGTTTTTGACCAAGTAATTCAGGATGCGGAAGGCTTGTACCGAGCAATTGACAGAAATGGCAGAGGCATGCTTGAAAGAGAAGAGATCTTTGAAGGCTTGATACAGCTGAATTCGGGCTTGGATGATGAGTTGCTTTCAAGCTTTGTTGCCTCCATGGAAATGAACTCAGAGCAGTGCATCGAAGTTGGCTCCTTCATACGGGCTATGAATCCAGAGACCCAGGGTACGCTGGGACAGCCTGCAAGGACTCTGTTCCAACATCCGCGCAAGGCGCGGCAGCAAAATTCTTTGCTTTCACTGGGTTAAGCCTAAGTTCGCCTCATGGAAAGTATAAAGATATAGAGTCAGCGGGTTCAGCAGTTGGCCTGAGTTTACTGTCAAGGATGAATTGCTGGCTGTCGTCGTCGCGCTGAATGACAAGCTGAAGCAGGGAATCACAATCTCAGGCTCCAAAGTTAGGGATGTTAAAAGCTTCTTCAAGGCGCTGGATGTGGACAACAGCCGTGCCCTCTCACAAGCAGAGATTTCGAAGGGGTTGAAGAGGTTGAAGATGCCTATGTCGGAGAAGCTGTTGCAGGACCTGGTCAAAGCTGGTGATGCTGACCACAACAGGCGCCTAGAATCCAAGGAGCTTGTGAAGCTCTTGGACCCAGCTTCCTGGAGTGACCCTAATGAAGATCCAGAGGAAGAAGCGGCCAGAATTCAAAAGGTCCTAAAAGAGGTGACTGGGAAGATCAAGTTCACATTGAAGGCTGGAGGACGCACGCTGTATGGCAAAAGGGTCACAGATGCTCGGACCTTCTACGAGGCGGTGGACAGAGACTAAGCTCCAGGGCAAGGCACTTTCTGATAACTTGACTCATGGCAACTGTTGTCAATGTAGGGCAAGTGCTGGCGTGCGGATGTAAGGAGATGGAAGCGGGGGCCTGGAGAAGGACGAGCTTTTCCAAGGCTTGCAAAGGCTGGGTGTGACTGTACCCGAACACCAGATTGTAATGCTCATCAACGCGCTGGATGGCAACTAGCCTGCAGGTTTGCAATCTCTTTTCTCGATGTCATGTGCTAGAACACTCTTGCAGGTCGGTCTCCCAGACACCAAGGCTGGAGCTACTGAGCTGCTGCAACATCCAGTTGCCAAACCATCCGCTAAGGCAGCAACACATTGCAAAGTAGCCCTTCAAGCAAGTGCGTTCTCATGAAGCCTGAAAGTTCGATACCACATGGAATGATGCCCCGCCACATTCTGCAGAGATAAATCCTCAAGAGACGGTTGATCATGGCAAACCCCCGCAACTTCCCCAAACTGGCTGTGGCTTTCAAGTACCGCGCACACATATCGGCGCAGGGGAGGTCTTGTCTGACTCTTGCCAATCAGCCTGGCTGCTTCTTTGTGGAAACGAGGCAATATGAGTGGCCTCATCGAGCTTCCGGAATTGGTGCTCTTGTTCGACCCCACTGCAGATCCAGAACAGCTGAAGGAGGAGGAAGCCCAGCGCAGCTTATCCAAGAATAGATTAATGCTTCTAGACTTGCCCACTTTAAGTTCATAAGTCTATGAATGGAATTTGAATTTTGTTCCCCATATTCCTGTGGGTTTCTAATTGTTTCGATGCACTGTCGCCCAAAATGTTCTGGGTACTCTTCCGCCGTGCAAACATTTGAGACGTGCCCTTGTTCGCTTCCAAATCATGCTCTTGCTTGAGACATCCTCAAAAAATCGGCATTCTATGTTGATTTTCGATCAAAAAAAGAGACCTCGCCTTTAAAGTAGTCTTGCTAGAGGGGGTTGTAACCGAACTAGTCGCGCCCCTGTTCGAGGCAAAATTGCGCTCCCGTGCGGGACATCCTCAAAATTTCAGGTTTTGCTTGCCTAAGAATTATTCAAAAATTGCGTTCCCGCGCGAGACAATTCGATTTTTTTGCGCTTTGGATCAATTTCGTATCTTCAAAAATCGCGTTCCCGTGCGGAGCATCCTCGAAATCTTGCCGATGTATTTTCATCGAATTCGATCAAAATGACGCTCCCGTGCGGAGCATTCGGAAAATTTGGATCATTTATGAAAGATGATGTCGAGGAGTTCTATACCAATTCTATATCAAATCAGTCCCGGTGTACTTCGCGGTTTTCTGGGCTCAAGGGGGTGGGGTATTTGGCGGAGGTTTCCGGTATAGGATTGGTAAGCGGCTACATCGGCTACTGGATGGATCCTCTACCAATTCTATATCAAACTGCTCTGCTCAAGCTCGTCTTCTTCGTTCAAGTTTTGAAGAAAATCGCGCTCCCGTTCGGAGCATCCTCAAAATTTTGAGAAAAATGGCGCTCCTGTGCGAAGCATCCTGAAAATTTTAAAGAAGGTCGCGCTCCCGTGCGGAGCATCCTGAAAATTTTGAATGAAATTGCGCTCCTGTGTGGAGCATCCTGAAAATTCTGAATGAAATCGCGCTCCTGTGCGGAGCATCCTGAAAATTCTGAATGAAATCGCGCTCCTGTGCGGAGCATCCTCGAACTTTTATAGTCTAATGGTTGTTTGGTTCAAAATCGCGCTCCCCTGCGGAGCATCCTGAAATTTTTGAGAAAAGTCGCGCTCCCGTGCGGAACATCCTGAAATTTGGAATAAAATCGCTCTCCCGTGCGGAGCATCCTGAAAATTCTGAAGAGAATCGAGCTCCCGTGCGGAGTATCCTCAACATGTCATCGTTCTTTCGTTCAAAACTGCGCTCCCGTGCGGAGCATCCTGAAAATTTCGAAGAAAATTGCGCTCCCGTGCAGAGCATCCTCGAAATTTCATCGTTCTTTCGTTCAAAACTGCGCTACCGTGCGGAGCGTCCTCAAAACTTGATGAAAATTGCAGTCCCGTGCGGAGCATCCTCAAAATATAGGGGGTCCACTAAAAAGAACTGAAGGGGGGGACCCTAATGCACGTGCTTTTCAAGTTCTTTTCACGGGGCGTGGGCACTAGCAAGTTCTTTTCAAGTTCTTTTCGATTTCGCCCTCTCCTCCACCCTGTGTTCTTTCATGTTGCTTGATAACGGTACCTAGCTTGCTCTTGGGTGCTCCCTGGGGGCCGCTACACCGACATATAGGACTATAGAGGGCCCTACATAGGGATCGGATATGTATATATCCATGTATATACACACACATGACTGCGGTGCGCACACTGTTAAAGGCCAGTCAGGGAGATCACTGGGTCGAAGGTCTAGGACTTTGTTTGGGTGCGCCAAGCCATCACCCCCAAGACTAGACCTCAAAAACGGGACCCTAAACCCCTACCCCCAAACCCCTAAACTCTAAACCCCTAAACCCCTTAATCCCTTAACCCCTAAACCCCTAAACCCTAAACCCCTAAACCCTAAACCCCTAAACCTTAAACCCTACACCCTAAACCCGTGGGTTGCTCACGCAGTCAGGCCGGCCGGGCTTGCCCTTTAATTGCTTCTGTCTTTCGGGGAGGCTAGCCACTCTGCAAAGCCACATCATATGGAAAATGTGTTTTTCTGAAGAGTTGGGCCTACAGTGATTGTTCAGCGTTTGAGGTTTATATATATATATATAAAGTCAGCACACTGTTCAAAGCCAGTTGGGGATATCACCGGGTCCGGGGTTCTGGGCTTGGGTGCGCCGCACCGTCACCCCCAAGTCTAGACCTCAAACGCTTGTGAGATGCACTGCGGAAGCAACCTCCACAGGCAGCACCAAGGAGAAAGAGCCAAGCAAGGGCGTGAGGGCCTTGCCTGACCTAGCCTAAGGCCTAGCCTGGCGCCTACCCTAGGGCCTATGGCTTAGCCTAGGGCTTAGAGCCTAGGGCTTAGAGCCTAGGCCCTAGAGCCTAGCCTAGGGCCTAGCCTAGGGCCTTTGGCCTAGGGCCTGTAATACATCTCGTTCTGATTCATCCTTTCTGTCTTGCTTTCCGCCAAACGTTGACAAGAGAAGAAGAAAGCCCCAGACGAGTGCTAAACAAATTCCAATGCCATTCGTCTGGCATGTATGGTCTACCAGCACTTCTGCCATTGCTTGTCCACAACTCCTATTGAGTCCGCTTGTGCTTAAAAATGGAAGTGTTGGCGATGATGATTTCTGACCAGCTCAGGTCTGTCCCGCTTGAACGCAGAACGCCAGGCGACGCTTCCGAGCGAAGATGAACTTCAGCAGCAGCTTTTTGGCTCAACATTTCTGGCACACACTGTGACCGGGTACGGTACAAGTGTTACGGCTTGTGATTGTCAGAGGTGCCTGGGAAAGGTAGCTGCAAAGCGGCAGTTTCCACAAAAGATCAACTTGGCCGGATTTTTGGGTGCCACGGTTCAATGAGCTGTCTAGACGGCTATTTGAAGATGCATGAGCTTTCAACCTAACGAGAAGTCTGAGAAGTCTCCCTGCGCCATTTCAGAGGGTCATGATGATTTTCGATAAATAAAATTGTGGACTTGACGCAGTGTAAGGTTGACCGACGTGATTGCCCAGATCACAGAGCAGATGCACACTGAGCAAACACTCTTTGGAACTACAATCAATGATGCCAAGAGTTTCTTCAACGCGCTGGATCATGATCGAACGGGTGCACTGGACAGAGAGGAACTCAAGCAAGGCTTAAGAAGGCTGGGAATAGCTGTGCCAACCTACTTACTGGATGCTCTTCTGGTGAAGATGGATGCAAACCAAAATGGACTGATTGAGCTGAAGGAGGTCGCGCGTGCGTTCCGCCCAGAGCCCGTGCCCCTGGACGAAGGCAAGGTGAAGGAGCTTCGCCGCAGATCCATCGAGCTGGGGCTCACTCTGCGAGAGGCCAATGCCGTGTCCCCGGAGGAGCTGCAAGAGCTCCTCGAAGGTGCCGAAGGTGATGGAGGATCTCCAACACAGGCAGAGGATGCTGCGCGTCTTAGGCGGGAGCTGCAGGAGAAGGAGCGTTTGCTGGAAGAGGCCCGTAAGGAAATTGAAAGGGAGAAGGCACGCCACGCTGCCGAGGCCAGCTGCTTCAATAGACAAGCGCAGTTCAACCAAACAAGCACAGGTACAGCGCATGTCAGCTCAACAGCTTTCTTTGCCTGGGCATGGAGTGTTCCACAGTCCCTGCTATCTCAACTCGAAAAGGAAGCGGAGCGACAAGCTGTGAAAGTGCTTGAGGAAGCCAAGGTCCTGCAATTCATCTGACGCTTGACGCTTCATGATTCGTCTCTGATATGTAGGCAAAGGAAGCCGAAGCCGAAGAGCGCAAAGCAGAGGTCAGACTCACCTGACCATTGCAATAACTTCATGGCACAGCATGGCACAGCATGGCACAGCCTGGCACAGCCTGGCACAGGCTTTGGAAAGGGCCTCCATGTGGAGAGAAGAGTGCCGCGGCTGCAATCAAGACATTTCTTTGAGCAGGGATGTTTGTTTCATAGGCAAGTGCTGCTGCAGCAAAAGCGCCTCGAGGCGCCAGCAATAGCCTTGCCGCCTTGATGCCATGTCAGCATTGAAGCGCAGAGGAACAAAAGGAGCTCGAGGAAAGAACGCGGATGGAAGCTGAAGCGATGGAACTCAGAGAGGGTTGCCAACTCGCCAATCGAGCGCGAGTTGCAACGCAACTGTTATAACAATCCTTAGGAGATGCAGATGCGACGATTTGTCCTGGACAAGGATAGCTTGTTTCCCATTCCCCAAAAAAGAACTGTGAGAAACTTGTCCTGGGCTTGCAGGAGAAGCGGCTGAGAGAGAAGGAGCAGCTGGCACGGCGAATTGAGGAAATGGAGGCCCAATCTGGACACAAAAATCAAGTCTCAGTTGATGCCGAAAAGGTAGAACTTGCAGTGGAGCACAAATTTTGTGCTGCTCAGGGAGCCCAGAGGTTGTAGCATTTGAGTTTGCCAAGTTGACGCTCCGTTTCAAACTACCTTCAGGCTTGGACGCTCTTGCACCGCTCTCCCGAGTTGTCAAGATGTTTTGATTTCATGTTTTCTCTTGCCTTCGGGCCTTCGGGCATGTTCCTCTGAACCTCTGCCAAAGCCTCAACTTGCATACCCTCACCCATGTGACCTTCCTCTGGCAAACCTCTTTCTGCGAGTGTGCTAAGTGTACGGAGTAGTTATCGCTGTGGCGGCTGTTGCTTGTTCAGCTGCCAAAGCTTTTGCATATTGTGACGTCTGGCAGTAGATTGCTTTAACAGCTTTCTGTGACCTCATCCAGTGGAACCTGTGGTAGTTTCTCAGTGGCAGTGCTCCAGACCCTAGATTCGGCCTTCGAGAGGAGCGACAGCGGGAAAAACACGCTCTCAGCTTAGTGCCGCACCAATTTGGGAGGGTGCTTGTTCTGCCCTTATTTGGCTGAGGCTTCAAGAATTCAATCATTGTGGAGAGCAAGGCAAGTACAGAGAGCGATTGAGGTGCGAATCATCATTTCTTCCAGCAGCTTTCGAATTATTGTTTCTACAGGCACAGAAGAAGCTTGCTTTCGAAAAGAGGCGCAGTCTGCAATTCTTGACAGGCTAGGCTGTGACTATACAGCTGAGACTTAGGCGACAAGAACGTGTCGTTAGACAACTCGAGCCTTTGCTGCGGACGGCTGGTACACTAGTAATGTTCTCAATGATGATTACATGTCTTTACCTTCTTCCCTGTCCACCAGCAATGCTTAAGGAACGAGTGCAGGCAAGGAAGCGTGTGGAGGAGCTTGAGCAGAAGAAAAAAAACAGTGCTGCGGTCTTGATTCAGAAGCTGCAGAGGGGGAGACTGGCACGGCAACACTACAGCAAGGAACGCCGTGTTGTGGAGATGAAGAAGCAGAAAGAGGAGTTTGTGAAGCGAGTAGAATGGGCAGAAGAGATCAAACGCAAGCAGGCGGCGATCAAAATTCAGCGGATGCGACGATCCCAGCTGGCCCGTCGCTCTGTCTTGGAGGAGATTAGACGTCTCAAGCAAGAGAAACTTGAGAGAAAGAGGCAGCTGGCGATGGACAAGGCAAAGGAGCGTATCGCCATAGAGCAAAGGATTAAGGAGATGGCTGAGCGTCGCAAGGCCAAAGCGGTGACTGCGATCGCCAAGGTCTGGCGCGGTTACCAAGTGAGGGTCGAAACAGCAAGAGTGAAGCAGGCCCGTGCCAATGCAGCGCGCCTCCGCGAACAGCAGCGTGCTGAGGCCAAGGCCCTCAGAAAACGCGAGGAGCGGATTGAGCAGAGAAGACGAGCTGATGCAGAAAGGCGCCGCCAGGAGGACCTGGCCAAGGCCATCGCACGGGACTTGGAGCGCAAGTGGCAGGACAAGGCCGCCAGGAAGATTCAAGCAGCCAGACGTGGCCAGCTCGAAAGGCGGCAGCAGCAGCGACTGCGTACATTGGAGAAAAAGCGGAAGCTCGCCGAGCGAAATGAGAAGGACCGAGCACAGCGGGCAGCTTTGGCATTGCAGCAGAAGGAGGCAAAAGTCAAAGCATACATGCGGGAAAGAGAGATCCTGCGCAACAAATGGGAAGATCTAGAGGAGAAACGGAAACAACAGATTATGGAGAAGATCCAGGCTGTCGTGCGTGGCTTCATGACCAGACGCAAGGAGAAGAAAGAGTCCCGACCCCAAATGAGCATCTACAAAAAACATCAGAAAGCAAAACCATGCTTGGGAACCAGGAAACAACGCCGCCGCGAGGAGCGCGATGCTGCAAGGAGAGGACGAGAACTGCGACGCAAGGAGGTCTCCCACATTGTAGGCTTTCTGCACCCCTGCCGCGGTCTTGAGCAAAGCCTTTGAGGAAGACGATCTGCGCAAGAAGGAGCAGCTCCTGTATCGTTCTCAGCACTTCTCAGCAGAGCTAGGGCTTTTGTTGCAAAGATGTTTTGCAAGCATATGCATGGCTGGTGGCCAGGAAAGACCTTGCCTGGATCAACAAGAAGCTGAAGGCTCCGCAATCCTGTGCACGAAGGGTCTTCAGCCCCGGGCGCTCGTGATCACAGACCAAGGGCTTTATTTAACTTAGCACCTTCGTGCACGGGAGCTTTTGTAAGCACAAGTGTTTTTGTGCGTGTGCCGCAGGGTGTTGTATGGGGTATGAAACCTTTGTGAACGAGGATTGCAGTAAACCTGGATGAGTCTGAATGGCAAATTCTGACATCTTCTTGCATCTGCGGAGTTGGGTGCCGCCGGCTGACGTTTCATACATCAGGTCATGGGTAGTGTTCTATTTGAGGATGCCATTGTCCACAACATAGAGTCATAGAGAAAGATCACATCCTCCTATTATTCACGTGTAGAGTTTAGCATGCTTGGGTGCATGTGTTTCATTGAGCACTGGCTTCCTTGCTTGCATTTTGGACCAAGCTTGGCAGTTGAGCCAAATAAGGCAGACAAGGAATTGTCTTCTCAGGACTGCCTTCAGTTTTGAGGAGGATCCACCTTCTGCAGAGTATGAATGCAGAATGATGCAGAGGTATCATGGGAGGGTTTGCTACACGGGCCTTGGAGCATCATGAGGCGACCGTCCTCTCTCCTGCAGCGGTGCTGGCCTTCCAGGTGGAGCCGGGCGGAGCCCCTGGCACTGGTTTGGTGCCTTCGAAGCAGGCTTGGAGCGTCTATATGCAGCGTGTGTATGCTGCAAAACTCCTGCTCCCTTCCTTTGTCCTGCCTGTCACCTACATATTCACGGACCGCCGCAACGGACAGCAGCCTGGCCAGGAAGTAGCGGATGCTGGTTGGTGGTCTGTAAAAAGGAGCATGGAGCGCAACTAATTGCGCTGGCGCATCAAGCAGCGCAGGTTGGGGAAGGCATAAAGCAGCCGTACAGCAAAAGGCCAAACCACGTGAAAAAGCGTCTGCAAGTGTGCGCTCCGAGAGGTTGGCGGAGCTCTTGGTGGAAGCAACAAAGGCCGGTGCGTGAACTCCAAGATCATCGCCAGTTCAGTAACAATGGGAAGGCTGCGTCCGTCGGCTTGCGGCTTCTTGTTGCATAACTGCAGAACCAGCTACAGTGCTGAAAGCCATCAAGATGCTTGAACACTTCCAAGCCATCCGAGGGCGCGAGAGGCTGGGCCTCGATGCCTTATTAAGCGATGCAATCACTGCATTGGGTCACTGAGAACTGTGGGTTCAGTGGGGTTTACCAGTGTTCGTGGGCACTCGGTAGTTGTGAAACCAACGATGGTGACCCACCCGTAATCCCGCATGGAGGCGATGTACCGCGTGGGGGATGCGCGCTGTCTGCCGTGCTAAGCCAATGCTACGCGCGCCTCAAGCAGCGACACCCTGCAGGGTCACTGGGTCCGCGGTGCATGGTCGCTGCACTCGTGGCAAGCAGCAAAAGCTGCGCAGTGGCTTTTCTGGTTCCTGGCGACTGGCCGTCGCTGGGTACGCTACTTGGCCTTACAGCTTACAGCGTTGCAACTTGGGCGATTGGACAGATGGTGCCACCAAAACCTCTATTTGCCGCTGCACTATACATGTCACCTCCGTTGCCCTCGAGTTTTGGGCGGAGGTGTCACCCGAGCTCCTCGCAGGATTCGAGGCAGGTTGCGGCGTTGCTACGCTTTGTCAAAGCCAGTGTGCAGGCGGTGGCTGGGCCAAAGGCGCGAGAAGTAGCCATGGTTGAGAATTTGCGGTTTGCCAAATTTTGGCTCGGTTTGTGCGTGATTACCTTCCCGCTCCCCCCTACCCCCGTCCCGTGTCCGTCCGTGCCCGCCCCAACCTCCCACCCTCCCTTCACCCTCCTCCCATCCCCACCTGCTCCTGCTGCAAGGTGAAATCCATTTTACGCTGCCAGCCTTCTCCTCAGTAATAACTTGGCGGTTGTCCACCTAGTGCGTACTACCTACTTAATAGGTTATGTTATCCCAAAAATGAAGAATCACATGGAAACCAATGGAAGATGGAGTGGGGGGATGGGGAGGGCGGGATCGAGGCGGAGATATACAGCGCCGTTGGCGCTGGGCATCTCAGTATCAATTTCTAAGCGGGCTGTCTGATTGATCAAGCCAAATTCCATGTACACACAAGCTTTTGAGGACAGGGCACCTTATGGTACCGTTGCCACACAATCGAGGGGGCTCAGCGCAAGCCACCTTCTTCCCAGGCCTTTGCCCGAGGGGTGCGGGCATAGGCTGCATCAAAGACTGCTTCGCGGACTACAGCAAGGTGCTGCAGGACGCGCCTTCCATAGTCCACACTGCGGTTTTCCATCCAGCCGAAGCGGGATTGCAAGAGGTGATTCGGGTTTGGGCGCGGGGGCCTACTGGGTGCAAAATAGGGGCATTGCCAGGCAAAGTGATGCCAGCCGGGCCCCACTTCTGAACGGCACCAACAACAGCGGCCCACACCCGCCTCTTTGCGTAGCCATAGAAAACGCAGCGCCTGTAAGGATGCCTCGGAAATGCTGCGCAGGGAGTCAGAAGGCCTCCTGCGTGCGTTTGATTGTGCGCTCACAGTAGCTTGGCCAAGGGCGGCCTCGGAGCTCCTGCCTTTCTTGATTAAGGAAGCCGCGGCGGGTTATTCGCTATCATGCGCCGCAGGCGGCTGAGCTTTTGGCAGACGCAGCCGAGAACAATGTGCGGATCCGAGTATCGATGGCCCCTGGTCAGTCAGCCATTCAAGCTGATTCCAAGATATGTGGTTGCGCGAGCCTAACGAGGGGTGGTAGGCCATCAAGGAGGACAGCCAGCCTTCTGCAGCGACAGCAAAAAGCTCGTTTTGTATTGCCCGCAGACCCATGCAGCGCATTTCAGCAGCTGTGCGGTTTTTTGCCAGTGTGCGAAGCCGGCGATTTGATCCAAAACGACTGCTGACAAGGCGGACGCGAAGATTGGCCGGATGCCTATATAACCCAATGAGCAGAGAGAGGTCGCTCTGCTGCGTGGTCACTTGCTGGCGGTGGCGTGAAGGCCCAGTAAAGGCTGGTGTTAGCCGGCCTGCCAGATTTATGCGGGCCTGCTCTTGACGCAAGTTGGCCGTTACCAGGTAACCAACTTTAATATTCCTTGTCCCGCGAAAGATTAAAATTGCGCAGCCCCAACTTTCAGAGATCCTTTATGCCTTGACAGCCAGAGCGTCTTCGCTCAGGAGCGGAGGGAGCACGTGGCACATTGACAATGTGACAGCTCTCATGTCGCTCATTCGCGGCATATGCGACTCTGGTCCACACAGCTCTGTTGCGCTGCAAGCGTTGTTTTTCTAGGACTGGATCCCCAGTAAGAGCTACTGGTCCAACTCGATCAGTCAATTGGGAGCGGAGGATCCATGGTAGCAGCGGCCAGAGCGTTTCAGTTTCTGTAAGTGTTGTGGGATTGAGCGCGCTTGGTGTATCGTGTCTAAAGTTTAGCAGGCTTGGGTGCACATGTTTCATTGAGCGCTGGCTCCCGTGCTGCGATTTTGGACCAGGCATGGCAATTGAGCCCAAAAAGGCAGACAGGGAATTGTTTTTTTTACCCACCCCTTTGTGTATGAGTGGGCTCCTGTGGATCACCCCTCAATAGGACGCCTTAGTGTGAGGGCAACGCATTAAGTCGACCGATTCGTTTGGATGCGCGGAAGAATCTTCCGGTGGAAAGGTCATAACCTTGAGAACTTGAGGGTCCGACCTGTCGACATTGATGCATGTGAACCCAAAGCAAATCCTGGGAGTGACTCAGGTTAGTGCTCACAGACCGTGAGATAGAGCAGTGCGTGATCAAAATCAGAGGAGAAGAGTGCTGAATGGGTCAGGGTATTTTATATAATAGGATTTTGCTAGCTCCAACTACCACATAAAACGCCATTCATGTTGACGGAGTGTGAGTCCAAAGGAAAATGGTCTCAGTTAACAAGTGTTGGAAAGGCATGCTACTCCGCCGGTTCAGGCCTGGAGACCAAATTTCTCAATTTGCGCACCTGCGTTTGAGTTGCCCGCAGGCACGCCCAGGCACACCTAGAGCACGACCCATATTAGGTTTTTAGCCTGCTTTGACTGTATGCGTGATTACGGGCTAAAATGTATTGACGTGAATGTTGTTGGGTTTGCGCAGTACCTCTTTTGACACGGCGCGCGCGGCGGTAAACTGCCTGTTACATGGTTTCTGGTTTTGCGCTGGCACAGGCCGACTTAGCCTTGCAATGCCTTGGTCAGTGACAGCACTAGGAGATGGAGGAGAAGCGCAAGTACCAAGCGGCGGTCCGCATACAGGCTGAGCAATAAAGCATTTCACGCCTTGCGTTGGCTCCTCCCATGTATGCAACCATGATTGCTGTTTGTTCTTCTGCACGACCGGCTGGTTGTTTAACTTGCCAGAACAGTTATAATTTGATTGAAATTGCGCAGCCGAGTTTGGGAGGCTTACATCCGTGGCGCTCTCTGCAGATTCAGTTTCAGGCTCCGCAGCAATTCTGTTTCAGACATCAACGGAAGTCTGATTCGGGCACAGGAGGATGTTAAAAGAGAAGCGAGCGAACGACGAGGCAGCGGGATGGCACGATGGTTGCACACACAGGCACCAGGCCTATTTGTGGCAGGCGGAGCGGAAGCGTAAGAAGACGATGTTGGAGGACTTTTGTAGTACGTTGTCTCTGTTTTGTCACGCGAGGCAATAAGTCCCAGTGCGGCATGATCTACATTTTTAAGCAATCAGCTGACGAGGCATGCGAGATGTGCTGTGCCAACACCAAAAGAAAGCCAGGTACATAGGATCACTTTGAACACGGTAATCACTGTGTGGCGGAAGATCTGCTCAAAGCAGACAGTAGGCTCTGGGAGCTTCAATATAATTATCGTATCATTTTGCCAGGAGGCAAAGCGGCAACGGATACAGAAAGAGGAAGCAGAGCGCAAGGCCCCTTGTTCGTGATACTTGCGTTGCAGCTGATAACTCTGCATCCTGCCTGAGGAAGGTCTGCGCAAAGAAATCGCAGCAAGACCCCAAGCAATCTTGCCAGGGACCCAACATCATCGCAGCATGTGCGCTGGTGACAACAGGCCACAAAGAAAAAGCTTGATGAGATGAAGATAAGGCGGCGGAAGGTCCCAATCTAATGCCTTGGGCGGAGTCGCTCACATGAAAGTGTTTTTTCTTGTCGTGCCGCTGCTCTCTGTTTCTGGCAATGTGTTTCTTGTGTTTTGTTCTGCATGCTATTCCAGATTTTTTTCGAAAGCAGGACACAGAACGAACCTTTCTTTGCTCCACGTGCTCTTGCCATTTGAAAGGTTTTTTACAACTTGAAAGCCCAGAAGCAACTGAATCAGTGAGGGCCGTGGCGATTGGGAGCAACAAAAACAAGCACCCTGGGCGTCATTTGTATTTGCTCCGTGTTCTCTCCATGGCATTCTATAGAAAAGTCGCATACGCTTCCGCAACAAAATGTTCAGTGCACGCTTTCCATTTTCGATCCACATACCCGGAAAACGCAGATTTCAATGCATCCGACAGGTATATGTTCGAGGAGATTTCTTATGGATTGAGGGCAGACTACGCAGAGCAAAACCAAGTGCCCTGTGGGCCCTAGTGTCTTTCTCCGATTACTCTGGCCATTTCCCACGTTCACAAAGGCAAAAAGCGACACGTGTCAGGGGAGTAAAAAGTACAAAACATATTACTCGGACACATGCTTACCTATGCTTGCCTTGTCAGCATCTTGCTTCATCTAAAGAGCTACATGACTTGCGAGAAGCTGCGAGGTAGCTGCCACCAAAGTGCAAGCTGTGCGACGGGGCCAGTTGGCCAGGTCCGGGTGCCTTGTTTAAGGCCCAAGTCTCCATAAGGTGCTCTCGCACAAGGTTTGCCTTTTGCGCGCACAATTGCCATCCTATGTACCTGCAAGGAGAGAGTACCGCAGGTACAAGGAGGCAAAGCGAAAGGAGGAGCTTCGTTCGTTTCCATTGTGCAGAAGTACACCAACTCCTGCAGAGATTTAGCACATTGCCAGGATGAAGACAAGCAGCGCGAGGAAAGGTGGCGCAAGGACCGCGAGAAGCAAAAGAAGGAGGCTGGCACAGTCGATTCACGCTGTCACTGGAGATCTTGAACATGCCCAGGAAGATGCGTACTTCGAACGCATCCGCGAGCAGGACAGCCAAAAGAACAAATCCGGCTAGAAAGAATGCACCATGTGGGAGTGCAGTGTAGAAGTGGGGCCATGGGCGCTACAGTACATCACAGTGCCTCTGCAATACTGCGCCAGAACATCGCAGGTTTTTCAGAATTCAGGATTTTGAAGCCCCAGATTCAGAGTAGAGTTGAGGGCTGTTTAGGCCTGCATTCGCTGGCCTAGGATGTAAGGCTCAGGGTTAAGACTTTGACTCGGGCTTTAGGATTCAGAGCTCCAGGACTAGCTTTGGATTCGAGGGCCTGGGCAATGTAAAAGGGTTTTCGGCTTCGCATTCGGGGTTTACATTGTCAACATTCAGCATCCGTAGCTACCGGGATTTGACTCATCCAAGCTCTTGCGCACTTCAGCTATCTGCAATCCGCAGAGATTGTCAGCCACATAGGTCGCGTAAAGCTTCAAACTTCATATAAGATTTGTTTTCTTTTGCAGTTGCCTGAAAGAAGTTTTTGTGATAGTGCCGTAGATTTGAAATGCCTGAGCTATTTGCCGAGAATAGATTGCACTCACGCCTGTAGTCAAAACTGCAAGTTCAGCTTACGAGGGTTGCGTCATACTTGGGACAACGCGTCCATGGACGGTTGAAGAAGCTAAAGCTGGCTAAAGTCATTGGGCCGTAGGTGGACTGGATAGAGGTGGCATGACAGAGTCGCCCGCTGTGTTGCAAAAGTAAATATACTCATGAGGAGAAGATCCGACAGCAGCGGAAGCGTGTGCTCCCCTCAGTTTTTCAGCTTCTTGCCGCTTGTCCTTTTTGAGTTGCTCACCTGCCAAGCCACCTCTTGTCTGAGCGGATTTGCTGGGCAAACCCCTGCTCAAGCACTTGCTCTCTCCAAGCGCTACTGAGTGTGCGTGCTGCCTAGCGGCCTAGCGCTCTCCCATCCCAGACCTTGCCGGGCGCTGCCAAGCAGGAGATCCCGGCAGCGCTCCGAGTGCGAATCGGTGGCCCGAAAGAGTAAGGAGAAAGCGCTCAAAACAGGCATTGGCAGCGAGCTGGGCCGAGCTCTTGGCCAGATCGACACCGAATCGAACCATCCCACAACCACGGGACACCTCACGATCTGGCCCATTGAACTGCAAAAGCAGGTGGTGTGCAAAATGGCTCGTTGGTGGTGAGCAGCAGTCGTGCTGACTGCTTCAGTGGCATCAGCAGGGCATTACATTACTTGGCAGAACCAAGTCTGCAAAAAGGATTTGGGCAATTGACACGACTATGATGCACTAATTAGTTGCTACAAGTTATTTGAGTGGTTTTGTATTTAGGGACTTGGTTCAACTACGAAAAACCCTACTCATTTGGGGGACGTCTCGCGCGACCTGCCCTGCAACCCCCCACCCTGTCACGTCCTGTCACAAAGTCACCCCAGCTCAACAGTTCACATAGGTACCAGGCACGCGCTTTTGTGTATGAAGCCTAGCCGGGTGGATGCAATGCAACGCAAGGCTTATTGTTTGTACCTGCACGTCACCAGCTAACCCAAGAAAAGAGTAGCGATGGCCAAGAGACTGATGTGCGGATCATGCAGCTACCGTGATTGAAATTTCTCAGCAGCGCTGTGACCCGCAAGACACCGACAACATGTGCTACCTAGCATGGAGACAACAGCCAAGCTCGCTGAGGTCTGGATTTTTCACTTCAAGCCAATCACGCGCAGTTTTGCAGTTTTCGACGCTGTTACATCATGTGCTATCTGGATCTGTTTTGGATTCGCAAACGAGCCCTGATTCCTCAGCCCTAGCAGACATTTGCATGTCCTGCAACAGGACTTCGAAACAATCAGCACTTGAGGCCTCCCCTCTTTGGCAGCTCGTGACTCAGGAAGTTGAGCATGCGAGAAAGCGCTACGAGAAGTTCCAGGACTTGCTTCCGGTGCAGCACTTGACTTCATGGATTCGCATTGCAAATCGCGTTTGCAACTGGAGTGCGCCTGGTGCGCCTGGTGCGCCTGGTGCGCCTGGTGCGCCTGGTGCTCCTGGTGCGCCTGGTGCGCCTGGTGCGCCTGGTGCGCAGGAGTATCAGCTGACCAGGGCTGCCTTGATGATCCAAGCGGCAAGGAGGCTGCAGCTGGCAAGGCATGGCAGGGTTGCTCCTGCAAGCCATCTTGGCCTGTGTAGAGCGCTTCAACGCAGGCGTCGTGTGGTAGAAGAGATGCCAGGGCCTGAAAAAACTTGTGCTCATACCTGGCAGCAGCTGTCAAACCAAGGAAGAAGATCAGGGACAAACTTGAAGCAGAGCGACAGGAGAGAAGACGACAAAAGGCAATTGAGAAGGCGCGGCATAGACAGACGCCGTGCTGTGATGCAAGCGTGTGTTCTTGCAAGGCCAAAATCGAGCGTCGCTTGAAGGCCATGGAGGAGAAACGGCGCAACGATGCTGCCATGGTGATTCAGGCCTGACTGCGACGCGGATCGCTTGCACATTGCTACTGCTAGGCCCAGTGTTGCTACTTGTGGGGGGGGGAGCCAGGCACGTCGACGCCACCAGGTTCAAAAACGAGCCCTTATCCTCGATAAGCAGCAGAGGCTAGCCAGCTTGTGCCAAGGGTGAGGCTGCCCCAGAATTGAAAGATTGAGATGACGTGGTCTATTTTATGCCAGGGCCATGGTGAAGCGGAATCTTCGCGGGGCAGCGATGCGGGACTTGTTTGCAGGAGTTGGGTTTAGAACCGGTTTGACATTGGCAGCTCCAGTGCTCTTGTTTGCAGGAGAGCCTTTGCCAGTGCCAGTGCCGCCATCATCTGCAGGCTGCCGAGAGGTGAGCCACCCGCAGGGCTGCACCTCGTACGTTGCAGGCGCACCAGCGGCAAACCCATTCACGCCCCAACTTCCACTGCCCCTAGGGCCCTCTCAACATCCTGACGGTGCACACTCTGCACAAGCAGAGATTGCGGCAGCAAATCTGGCTGAGTTCGGAGAAGGCCGAAGCCCTCAGCATGCATCCCTGCAGCCACTCCAACCATTGCCCGTCGCCTATGGAGGGCCGGCTTCCGGGTCCGCGACCCCAAGCATGCCAAGCGTGCCATGTGGCTTCTCCCCTGAAGGCTCCCCTGGCTTTCCACAAATGGGCAATCAAGGCATGCCGGGGCACCCTGCGCAAGCGGCGCAAGCAGCGCAAGAAATGCAGCCAGCTTCCTATCGATCTGGTGCAGCTTCTCAGGCACTGTGAGATCTTGGTAAGCTTAGCTTCAGAATCCCCAAAGCCTAGTTTTGCGCAGCCTGAGCAGCCTGAGCAGGCAGATCCACGGAGTGCGCAGATGAGCTTGCAAAGGCAAGTCAAGGTTCTAGGGCAAGGCTCTACCATGGACTTGTGTGCTCTGTCTACGCAGGCCCTTATTCAGTGTTTTGTTTACAGCCTCATAGCCATAATTATTGTGCTTCGCAGTCTCAGGCTCTTCAAACTCTCCTTTTCAAGGCTGTCTGGAACCTGTGAGCTCTGAAATTTAGTTCTCTGCCGGAAGTCTGCCACATTCACACTCGCAAGCTTTTTTTTTCTATCGATCTTAATTTTTCCGGGCATGCTCTTGGATCACTTTCAGAAGGCTGCCTTTTACAGTCTTTCGCTTGCCGGCCTCACGAGCCTTGAAGAAGTTTCCCATGCAGATCATGCTGATCATAGCATCAAGTGACAAAAACGAGAGAAGAGACAAGAGCGAGGAAACCACGGCGGTAGGAAATCCCATAATGGGGTGTACTGAGCATTCGGGCATCTTTCACGCTGCGCTTTACGCCTGGAGACTGCTAAGGACTGGCTGATGAACAAGACCCACACTACACGAGCAAACTTGAACTGTCTACGAGCACAAATACCAGCCGCATTGCCGCCTGTAAAACATAAGATGGGAGATGGAGATGTTGGAAAGCTTACCAGCAATAAGTCTGCAACAGAGGCAACTTAAGAGATTGGTCCCTAAAGCGGCGCATCAAGGCTCAAGCGTACACGGTTCAAGGAAGCCCTTGAATCCAAAGTCGGCTATCAGTCTACCAGCAGCTCTTAATCCGAACTGTAAGGATGGTGTGAGACCACCAATGAGGGGTGCTTCGCGCACTCTTGAAGCTGGCCCTGGCAACCAAGACTGGGGCCTGGAACGTGCCATCCAGCACGCTGGGTAGCGATGTCACAGAGACTGCCGAACATGTTCTAAAATTGGCAAAGGGGTGTACAGATTGAAGGCTTTGTTGTTTTGCGCTGAGCTTTGGCCCCGAAAACTTTTGCAATCCCTTGACAACAGCTGCGCTTTGCCCGCATGTGCACCCAGTTCCGGGTGTTGTCCTCTGTCTTGCCTTTGCCAAACGGGATTTGGAGATGGTTCAGACGCTTTACTGGGGATGCTAAGAGGCGAGTTTGCAAATCCAAGCCAGCGGATACATCAGGCAGTATTTTTTCTGCTGAAACTGTAGGTGTCTGCGCGCCTCGGTGTAAGCAAGCTTATCTGCTGAGTGCTGTCAGTTTTCTTAGAGTGCTCCTGAAACTCCCCTGCTAGAACGCTTCGCGAATGCAACGCGCTGCTGCACTTGTGACGCTCCCAAACTAAAAGAGGGTCGACGCTGGCATGATGGAATCTGTGCCGGGCACAGCGAGTTACGGTCCACTAGCACCGGCTAGAGGAGACAGCGCAAAGCGCAGAGCAATCGAGCTTTTTCCTTATAGACTTAGAGAGAACACCTATACAATCTAAGCCGAAAGGTTGCAAGATGAGCCACAAGCGTTAGTCTCCATGAAAGGAACTAGNNATTTCACGCAAACCCTGCTTACCGATAGCGGAAACCCAACACCGACACCCCTAACAAATGCTGTTTACCGATAGGGGAAACCCAACTAAGATGCGGCCGCTTCTGGGAATAAGCATTTTGGCGCGAGCTCAGATGTTGCAAGAGTTGCAGATCCTTCCCTGGGAGAGGCAAGCCATGCTTCGACGAGCTGCGGAATTCGCAGCATCGCAGCGTCGTTAGTGATCCCGCCCTGCGTTCCTCCACCACTATTCTTTACAAGATGGCCATGCAGAATGATAAGCACAAGCCTCACATACAAATGTCTTGGCGATGAGTGATGGAGCTTGGTGTGGGCGATAGGCTGGAGAGCAAGACTGAATTGCCAAAGTGCATTGGATTGCTTTCTGAGATCGGCTAATGAACCTTGCTTGCCATTGGCATCAAGACAGAAAATTGTGCCGCAGAAGCAACTGAATCCGAGGTCCGTTTCGCTCATGATGCTTCCTCTCTCATGGCGGTATGGTAGGAGATGAACAGAGTTGGGTTTGGTATGGCCTTGCAGACTGTGGCCTCAAGAAGAGCGTTTCGGCACCACAAAGAGAGGAAGAGCTTCATGGCAGCTGACACCTTGGCCTCAACAGCTAAGTCATGAACCTAAGGTCCCTAAAAACTCTGGTTTTTATGGTCGAAGCGTTCTCCGGTGTACCAACTGTTCAACCCTCTACCCCCAAAAAAGTGAGCAACACCGTGTGGTGTAGTACCCCCGAATTATTATTTCAACCAGAGCGGATCATCCTGAGCCGTAAGAGGACTCAGAGCACGTGAGCTGAAGAAAGAAATGGCAACCCTTAGCCCCGAAAAGCCTTCGACAGCATGAATTTATACCAGACCCTGCACCGGGGTGACAGGAAGCAAGGTTTAAGGTCTTGTGTTTCTGTTGGAGCTAGCGACCAAAGATGTGAAGTTGTTGCAGGGGCGAGCCTGGCATGCTGGCAGGTCTCGTGCGCAACTGGCAGACAGAAGTGATGGCAAATTCCAACATTGTGCCAGTGCACGTTTTGTCAGGAAGTTCCTAAACTTTGCTTGTTGTCTGACATCACCGCATTCGCAAGTTTTTATTTGGCTGTGCAGTTCAAGATTGGGGCATGTGGGTTGCAATCAGTGATCAGCTGTCTCATCAATGTCGATGTAGCCACTGCTCAGACCACATACCTGAACTACCATGCTGTTGGTGTCAGGGTTGAAGACCGGGCCGTCAGGCCTCTGCAAGCAGATTGCTTCCCTCGCAGTGAATCATCATTTTCGGGGGATTTCAGCGGAGTTCGGCGAACGAATCCCATGGCGACTTCCTTTGGCACCTTTGAGCCCTCGGATGCCGTCTTGGCAGCCATGCAGGCAACAGATCAGGGCTTGACACAGCCATTCGTTGGATTCGTTGGGCTGCAAGAGCTGGCAAGGTCCGGGTGGGCGCCAGGGCGGCTGTGGCAGCAGGTTGGGAGTTTGAGAGTTGAGGAGAGTTGAGGTGATGTCTGCAACATATGTTTTCATGTTTGCAACCTGCCATGGATCATCTCGGACAGGAACTATCATGTTCTTCCCTTGGTGCTGATTAGATTAACCCGTATCTGATTCGCACTTGCGTGCAGGTGAGGCAGCGTCAGCCGTGGATCCGGTGTCAGTAGCTGAGTTTGAGGCGGTGTAGCTTTCAGCTAAAGCAAGACATACTATACCGGCGTGCGACACGCTGAGTTGGCAAGGGTCGGTAGGCCAAAGGTTCAAAGACCTGGTCTAGCTCCTCCCTTATCGGGGTTTCGCCTGCCAAGCTGCGGCAAACGTTGCGCATGAGTGCCGATGTTCTGAGAAGGTCTCTCTGGCTGGCCGCGCAAGCATGTGTGTATACCCTGCCATGTGGCGCAAAGCCATGCGATTGTCGTTTGCTTCACTCTGCTTGGCTGCATCGCACGTGGTTGTGGGCAACTTGTTGCTAGCAAGATGTGTGGATGCACCGGGTATGCAGCTGTGACCTGCACAGATGTTGTCCAGAGGGAAGTTTCAGCGCCCACTGCTGTCTTGCAAGCTGTGCCGTTTGATTTGAAATCAGGTCACAGCGATCCAAAGAGTCAGGCTGAGAGGGTTTCGCAGTCGAGGTTTCTGTGTTACTGTTTGAATGCGAATCGGATCGGAACACCCGACCCCTTGGGCCTTTGCCAGCTGGATTCTGACGATATGATGCGTTAAAGGTCAACAGCAGGCTGCTGCACCTGCCTTCAAGCTCCATGGCGGGTACCGTGAAGCAATGCAGCTCACTCGCTATTTGCATGCTCGAGCCATTTAGATTCTAGAGAAAGGTTGTTAAAAGCGGCTTGAGCGGATGTGCCCAGGCCGATGGAACATCAGAGTCTGCCGCCTGCTGTGGTGCGTGTGGCCGAGACAGGCTGACGGCCGCTTACATGTTTGACATGTTGAAATGTGCCGGGCGCTGTCTACACAAGGTGGCATCTCTTTCGGCATGAAGGAGGCAAAGCCATCCGTGAAGGGAAACCGTGTCCAGAAATTGAGCACACACAAGCACAGCGAAGTAGCTCTGTGCAGCAATCTGGTCCAAGGCAATGCCAGCAAAAGACTGCGGTAGTTATTTTGTTCTTGGGGATGTGGATCAAACAAGCAAATGACAAATCAAACAAGGA